CAAAAGAGATTAGTGGAAAGAACCCTCTTATTTCTGGTTTTATGAATGGTGCAATATGCAGTACTTTGTGTATTGTCAATTCCCATGTTTCCCTTACGTAGTCTATCTGTTTTCTGTTTATGTGGGAACTTTCTAGAAAGCAACAGGGGAGAGGGGCTTTTGGGGTGTGGAGAGAGTGATATTAAAAACAAAAACTGGCAGTCGGGCTCAGAGGCAGACAGTGCCTGAAACTGCTGTGAACAGCTTTTTGGGAAATGACTTGGTTTTATTTTGACAGCTTTTTTGAAAAATGGCTCATGTTCCCACCCTACCCAGTGAATTTCTCTACTGAATTCCCCTATGTACAATTTAGTTTCTAGTGGCATACCATTTGAAGTGACAGTGCCTTGAAATATTATTTAGAGTGTATTCTACAAATCTGCCCAGAAAACACTTTTCCGGAGTGTAAAAATCATTCATGGAAGAAGACTTCTGGACTACATGGATAAGCATTACATTCACAAACACTAACCTGAAACTCCATCTTTAACCTCTCTTGCTGTGTCTTTGTACTGCAATATTTAGGACTTACAAGATCTTTTATTGTTTGAAGATAGCTATAACACACCAGCAAAGGGCCATGCATTTATGACCTTATTAATAAGAGCTTCCTAGGTACCCTGTTCCATGACATCAAAGTCGACATAGCAGAAGTCTGAATTCACAAGAAACTACACATTGTACATATACAGACACACAATTCACTTTTTAAAGACATATTTGACAGAGGGAAGAGGGAGAGAATTTCAGTGCACATGAGTAGTGACTCCTTTAAGAATTAAGATGTAAAACACCTTAAAAAAAAACAAAAGTCGTTAATCCATACTAAATATTAATCATCTTTAGGTTTCACTTTTTAAATCTGATCTCAACTAAGAAAAATATTTTCCATTTGAAAATGTTGCACTCACTATCGTTACAAGTAACCAACCACTTACACTCTGAAACAGAAATAAAAACAAAAATATTTCACTCTATTTTCCATGTGTTTACTTTGTGCATTTTAAAGCATTTTTTTGATGGTTAACTACAAGAGAGGTTTTTTGTTTTCTTTTTTAAGGAGGAGTAAACCCTGGATGCTCAGACAAAATGCTGTGACACAAAAATGCAGATAGAACAGAAGGTACTAAAAACAGATACTGTGGAAGGTACTTCATTATAGTCATGCAAATGGTGCTCGTATAGCATTTTGTTTTTCCTATTTATAAACATTATAAAATGTCTCATATATGCTCTAAGACCTGGATTCTTTCTTCTACACATTCAAATTTTAAGGTAAGGCAAAAACATTATATATGTTAGCTGTAAATCTGATAATTTTAAGGAAGAGCTTCATGTGTGATCCCTCAAGCAGCAGGGATAGAATAAAGTGAAGCCTCAATTATATCTTTTGTTGGGAATCCTTTTGACTAGATTTGAGATGGATTATTTAGCTCTGGAGACACATATCAATGCAAACACAAACAAACAGCAAGTCCTCCAGAACAAGGCAGCCTGATAGTCCAATCTTCATTATTTTACAAAATAGCAGCAAGACAAAACTTACAAGGCCTCAATTCTTTCTTCTGGCTGAGTTCAAATTGGCTCAAAAATAGAGTGGAGAAGCGGAGGCATGCTACCCTTGCACTCCTCTCTTCGGGGGCCAGCGGGTCACCTGTACAAACTAGAGCAACCCTAATCCAAGCTATTTATTAACAAACACTGAGGCTGAATTACTAACTTTTTTTATTTTTGTGAGCTCGAGAGAATAGTCTGTGGTATCGTATGTTAATAGCAATAGATTTATTATCAAGCTTGATAATGTACTAGGCATTTTAAACCAAATAGACTTGGATGCTCTTCGAAGCTCTCTGGGCAGATACAGCATATTCCTCCCTTGTCTATACTAGAGGGTTAAATTGATGTAAGTTATGCAACTTAAGTCAATGTAAACTATGTTAAGTTATGTAAGGCGGTGTCTGCACCATGCTATGTCAGTGGGAGACGCTCTCCCGTCGACATAGCTCCTGGCTCTCAGTGAGGTGGAGTACTGAATTCGACAGGAGAACGCTTTTCCATTGACTTATTGCATCTTCACCAGACCCACTAAATCGATGCTGCTGCATCAATTGCTGCAGCGCCAATTTAGCCCATACTGAAGACAAGCCCTTAGTAAAGAAGCTTCAGGTATTTTAGTGAATGATAGGTTTTCTGAGGAAGTGAGAAGAAGTGACAACCTACTCCTATGTCTACTGTGTAAGACAACACGAAGGGTTTTCAGTTATTCAGCCATCTCACTGCAATGTGAGATAAGGAAGATTGCTTTGAGAAATGTTCTCTTGTATAATAAGAGTTTTCATGTTCTTTTCTTCTGACCCAAAAACAACAAAAGATTAAAATGTATTCTGGGTAACAATGGATTTGAGGAATTCGGAACAACATAAGAACGGCCATGCTGGGTCAGACCAAAGGTCCATCAAACCCAGTATCCTGTCCTCTGACAGTGCCCAATGGCAGGTGCCCCAAAGGGAATGAACAGACAGGTTATCATCAAGTGATCCATGCCCTGTCACCCAATCCCAGCTTCTGGCAAACAGAGGCTAGGCACAGCATTCCTGCCCATCCTGGCTAATAGCCATTGATGGACCTATCTTCCATGAATCTATCTAGCTCCCTTCTGAACCCCGTTATAGTACTGGCCTTCACAACACCCTTTGGCAAGGAGTTCCAGAAGTTGACAGTGTGTTGCATGAAAAAAATACTTTGTGTTTGTTTTAAAGTTGCTACCTATTAACTTCATTTGGTGGCCCCTTGTTCTTGTATTATGAGACGGAGTAAATAACACTTCCTTATTTACTTTCTCTCTACCACTCATGATTTTATAGACCTCTATCATAACCCCTTAGTCACCTCTTCTCCAGGCTGAAAAGTCCCAGTCTTATTAATCTCTCCTCATACAGAAGCTGTTCTATACCCCTAATAATTTTTGTTGTCCTTTTCTGAACCTTTTCCAATTCCAATATATCTTTTTTGAGATCGGGCAACCACATCTGCATGCAGTATTCAAGCTGTGGGCATACCATGGATTTATATAGAAGCAATATGATATTTTCTGGCTTATTATCTATCCCTTTCTTGATGATTCCCAATATTTTGTTCGCTTTTTTGACTGCCGCTGCTGCACATTGGGTGGATGATTTCAGAGAACTATCCACAATGACTCCAAGATCTCTTTCTTGAGTGGTAACAGCTAATTTAGACCCCAACATTGTTTTTGTATAGTTAGAATTATGTTTTCCAATGTGCATTACTTTGCATTTATCAACATTAAATTTAATCTGCCAATGAAAAAGTTAAGTTATTGAAAGGAAAGCAACTGTAATCCTTCTGTAAGAACCTCCAATCACAATTTCCATCAAAACATGCAACAACAACAAATATCCAGATGTATCTATGTATTATACATAAGCTGGCACTTTCCCTCTGCAGAAACAGAACTAGTTAGAACTAAACATACTATAATCAGAAAATAATGTTTAAGAAGGAAAAATCTGACATGCATAAAACCTGCAAGTATAAGTTTTGTATGTACACACATAACTTCAATTCACTCCGGGGGGTAGGGGAGAGGGAGACACAGCGGGCGGGGGTGTGGAAGAGACTTAGCCCATCTTTTCTTCGTTAGCCAGATTGTAATTACTTTCCACTTTTGTTATAAGACTGCAACACGTTTTTCTCAGGCTCCTGGTATTTCCCCCCGCCCCAATTTCCAATTATACAAACATCTTCTCCAAATATTCAGTTAAGTTTAAATGTCAAAAATTTATTCAGTTTAAATATTAATATTTAAAAAAATCTACTTGTCTTCAGAATGCTTCAAAAGCTAAAATATGCCACCTACTGGCAATTTAAGTGCAAAGTTCATCCATCAATAATTTGTAAGGAAAGATGTATTTTTAAGGTACACTGTATTTGATTTCAACTTCAGAAGTGTACAGAAAACTTTAGATTAAACTTTATACTCCCCACTGACTTGCCTCTGACTTTCAGTTTACTGTATGTCTACACTGCCCTGCATTTCAGACTACGGGGGTGTGAACTGCAGCACCTGTAGTGTACCCATGGGTAAGTTACAGCACAGCACTTTGGTACATGCTGCAATTCACACCCAGTAGCCCAAAATGCTGGGCAGTGCAGACATGCCATCAGAAGTTATTAAAATACTTGACAGCACATCAGACAACCACACTGCTGCCTGAATAAGAAAGAGTAATTCTATTGCTTACTTCTGGATTTCAGTGTCAAAAGCTTTCTTCCCCATCTCCATTATGCAACAATCTAATAAAATAATGACAAACTGGAGAGTAAGTCATCCAGCATAGTCTATCTAACCTTTGGTCTTTATCAGCTTGGCTCCAGGGCCAGGGAAAAGACAGACAAGTTGCAGCCTTGCTATTATCTTAGAATTACTGAAACTGACGAACATGAAACTATGTATGGGGGGAAAGAATTTAAATACATATTTTAGTTTTAACTTTTGGAATCCAGTACCTAGAGCAAAGCATTGGATTCTATTAGTATCTCTGCCACGGACTCACTTAGATATATGACTAACTTTACACAAGAGTAGCCTCATTGAGCTCAGTGGGACTACTCAAAGGCATGCTTGCAGAGCAGGATTTTTAGGAACCATTTATTCCTTATTCCTATTTATGATTTTAGAATAAGTCATTTAATCTCTGTACCTCAGTTTCCATCTGTAAAATGAGGATAATACCTATATCACAGTGGTATTATGGGATTTATCTGCTGTAAGATGCTATAAGGACTTTTGCTATAAACTTTCCCTATTTATAAACATGTTAAACCATCAAAATCACATAGCACTACCCTACCCCTCATACATCTCCATGTAAGAGTAAGCTTTTCTGAACAGGAGAAAAATCAGTAGCTTTTCTTGCTTCTGTACAACAAATGCTTACCTGAAGTCGGGAGTTCATGAGCATGAACTCCTGTTGACTCTTCAGGTTTTCATTCATAGATTTTGAAAAGATGAATCCCATTTTGATTTAAACTGTAGAATAAGTTATAAAAGGTAGATTTAAAAGGTGTTAAACACTGACCACAACAACTGAAGTTTATTTTGAATGTCTCTCTCACAATAACAGGTTTCAGAGGAACAGCCGTGTTAGTCTGTATTCGCAAAAAGAAAAGGAGTACTTGTGGCACCTTAGAGACTAACCAATTTATTTGAGCATGAGCTTTCGCTTTCGTGAGCCACAGTCTCTAAGGTGCCACAAGTACTCCTTTTCTCTCACAATAGTAGCAATAAAAAACTTAATAGCTCAGACTCAGTTAATAAGGATTCTGTTGCTGGCCTCCTGACCCAGAAGTTTTTATAGCTTATTGTATCACATCTATAGTTAGACAAGAGTGGCAAACACTGACAGAATGTGGGGTGTATTTTAAGGAAAATCAGAGATTGCAGTAATCAGATGCTAGCTTGATGGATTCATTAAAATCATGAAAAGAGAACTCAATTCATGTATCATGGAAGAAGTGGGTTTTTAGAAGGAAACTGAATGAAGGAGATGTAGAAATCTGAAGGAAAGGGATATGGATGACATCTTGTTTTCCTTTACCTTCCCTCAATTATGGAATAGCTGTTTTGTAACATTTTTCAAACCACCACCAAAGTTCCTGCCCACAACAATTAGGGAAAGAAATGTTGAAAAAAAAGTCTTCTTATTTCAAGACACTTGGTGATTTCTGCTTGAATAATCCCCTCCACCCATAAAAGTGGAAAGCTGCTTCACACAATAATACTATAACAGCTCCTCTAAGTCTTCTCTGCTTGCTCTTGGTGCTGGCAACATTCATTGCCTGAAACTTGTTCAAAAATAAAAACAAAGTTTTAAACAAAACAGGCAACACACAACATGTGAGAAACTAAGGGCTCCTCCCAACCTCTGAAAAAGCCTGTCTATACCAGACTGCCTGCTTAAAACCCATGCTCACGGACGTTCCTTGGATAGTATTTTATTCTTTGTTTTTAACTTGGGATAGCTCTCTTTAGCACCAAACTGTCGGTGTGGATTGGCTGATATGGTTTCCTGCTGCAGCAAAGCCCAATCCCTGCCCTCCACTTACACACCATTTCCCTGCAATTGCTACTTCCCATCCCAGTGCACAGCCTGGACCCCAGCCCCCCTCACCACTACCCACCCCCCACCAACCCTCACTCCCCCATCAAACCCCATCCCTACTTCCTCCAACCCCCTCCCTCACCACTACCCAGCCCCCCACCAACCCTCCCCCCTACTTCCTCCAATCCCCCACCCCCTCTCTCACCACTACCCCGCCTACTACGAGCCCCCTCCCCCAGCAGCCGGTCCATGCCCCCAGCCATCCAACTTTGCGAGGAGGGATAGCTCAGTGGCTTGAGCATTGGCCTGCTAAACCCAGGGTTGTGAGTTCAATCCTTGAGGGGGCCATTTAGGGATCTGGGCCAAAAATGGGGGATTGGTCCTGCTTTGAGCAGGGGGTTGGACTAGATGGCCTCCTGAGGTCCCTTCCAGCCCTGATATTCTGTTATACCCGTTCCCCCCCCTCACCGCAGGAGGGGGCAGAGGAGCCGCCGGTCTGGGCGGGCAGCAGGTCGCTCAGGAGTCGCCTCGCGCTCCCTCCGGGAAGGTCGTTGGTGGGCCGGGCCGCGCTCCGGCGGGGTGGCCAACGAGCGAGCCGCCCTGGGTTTCTCCTGCCGCAGGGGCGCCGCGGCGGCGGCGTGGGGGGGGATTTAAAGGGCCAGCGCGCTGCTGAGCTAAGATGGTGCCGCGAGGAGCCAGCGCCTGCCTGATGCGGGGCCGCCCCTGCCGCGGGATGGGGAGGGGGGGAGCGCGGCCAGCCAGCCAGCCAGCGGGACCGACCAGGCCCTATCTCATATGTCGCCCCCCCCCGCCGCCTGACAAGCCGCACCTCCTTACTGCCCCCCCCCAGCTCTGTCACAATGCTACTGCCAGTTTCCGTGCGCTCACCCACCCCTAAGACCCCAGGCCCTGGAGCCATGGAAATAAAAGCATTCGGCTGGTCAGCCCCAAACCCTCATAAACCAGGAGCCAGCCCCTAAAAACCATGAGCGGGGCATCGCCAGCAGTCCCTTAGTACATGGGAGGCCCCTTATTTTTTCATCTCTGTACAACAAGATGGGGAGTTGCTGAGTGTGGCAGGAAATACCCCTGGGCCCTGTAGATGGTACCTGCTGCTCATTATTACTGGTGATGATAACCATGATCTTAGTAGCAGGAGGCGGGGGTGCTAAGAAAACTGTCCCTTATTTCTGAAATACAATGTTGGCAACCTTCTCGTCAAGGTTACAAGGATGTGTTTGGTTTTTAAACCATTTTGGGTTCTTATTTGCCTTCTGGTTTCTGGATTTTTGAGGTGCGCCGGAGAGCTTCTCAACCTTTTCTCTCTAACCACAAGGACTAGAAACTTCATTTATTCAAATGAAAGCTCACCTGTCTCCAGGAGCTGGGGCTTTAAGCCAGACATCAAATACTGTGTGACTCATGATAAAATCACAGGAGTTGGCAATGCTAAGTTTTTGGTTGATGACAAAAGCTTGAAAATGTGACCCAGATGCATCCCTTGAGACTCAGAAGGCAAAGAACCATTATGTCCATACAGACTGTCACAAAGGAATGGCATCAGCAAAGCCTAAAAAGACAGAAACAAGAAGTTTCAAATCTGGGTGCTCCTAAATCCAGACTGAGGCACCTAAATAAAAGTGGCCTGTTTTTCAAAGATGATGAGCACCTGCAACTCCTATAAGCTTTGCTGGGACTGGCGAGTGTTCAACACTTCTGAATATCAGACTACTTATATTTAGGAGCCTCAGTATGGATTCAGGTTTCAGAGTGGTAGCCGTGTTAGTCTGTATCAGCAAAAACAACTAGGAGTCCTTGTGGCACCTTAGAAACGAACAAATTTATTTGGGCATAAGCTTTCATGGGCTATAACCCATTTCATCAGATGCATGGATGGTAGGAAGGTATAAATATACAGCACATGAAAAGATGGGAGTTGCCTTACTAAGTGTGTGGGGGGGGTGTCAGTGCTAACGAGGCAATTCAATTAACAGTAGAATACCAAGGGAGGAAAAAATCACTTTTGTAATGGTCATGAGGGTGGCCCATTTCAAACAGTTGACAAGAAGATGTGAATAACAGTGTTATTAATTGAATTGGCCTCGTTAGCACTGACCCCCCACACACACACTTGGTAAGGCAACTCCCATCTTTTCATGTACTGTGTATATATACCTGCTACTGTATTTTCCACTCCATGCATCTGATAAAGTGGGGTTTAGCCTACGAAAGCTTATGCCCAAATAAATTTGTTTGTCTCTCAGGTGCCACAAGGGTTCCTTGTCGTTTTTTCAGTATGCATTTAGGACCCTAACTTTTGGAACCCAGTTACACTGGGTTTGTTGTTGTTGTTTTTTTAATAGGTCATAAACTGTTGCTATAATGCACAGACAACTAAATGATCAATAAATATAAATGAAACACAACAAATCTTATAGGGTCCAATCCAGTTCCCATTGAAGTCAATGAGGTCTTTCTATTCATTTTAATGGAAGTTGGAGCAGTCCTTTAGAGAGTGAAGGAAAAATTGCCTATATCAGTGGTTCTCAAACTTTTTTTTTCGCGGACCACTTGAAAATTGCTGAGGGTCTCAGCGGACCACTTAATGATCTTTCCAAATGTTGTTTGTACTGTTAGCTAACTATTGTAAAGCGCTTTGGATAAAAGTACTATATTAAAAAAAACTTAATAACGTTTTTTGGTTCTACAAATAAAAGCACACAACTCATATTTTAATATCAGTAGTCTTACCTTTCTAATGTGATGGATATGACCTCTCTCCCCTGCTGCGGCAGTCCCCTAGCTGAGGCTGGGAAGGAGTGGGGTCTCTTCCCAGCAGCTGCAGCCCTGGAGCTGGGGAAAGTCACCTCTTTCTTTGGCCGCCGCAGCCCTGCGCATCCCAAATTCCCCCACCTCCTCTTCTCACCCCACTGCCTACTCCCACCTACGCCATATTCTCCGCAAGGTCACCACTTCCCCTTATATGTGCATCTTCTCCAGGGTTCAGGCACCTAATTAGTGGGGCCATGCCTGATCAGCTCCACTACTTAGGTGGGTGGCCCTTCATTCTCTTGAGTGCGGCCGCCCAAGTGCGCACCTTAAAGAGAACTATCTGCAGACCACCTGAATGGAGTTCGCGGACCACTGGTGGTCCATGGATCACAGTTTGAGAACCTCTGGCCTATTTTCATACAGGAAACTCTGCTGATCTATCATCTGACTTGTGTTCATACAAGACTATACATGGGTTTTTTGTCAGTTAACCTCAAGTCAACATCCTACATTATACAGTTCCATACAACTAAGAATATTTCTTTAGCATACTTTCTTTTAAAACTGAGGATTATTATTGCATTAAAGCTTTATGCATTTCAACCCAACTTCACACAATATGTTTATATATAATTAATGGATGAATTTATTAACTTTTTAAAAAATGCTGATTCTAAGAACTGTACAAATATTTAAAATACACAAAATTAAGGCTCTAGTCCTGTGATGACTTATACACATGCTTAACTTTGAGTATGTAAATAGTCCCAATTAACTCAATGGGACTTATATGCTTAAAGTTCAGAATGGGAGTAAGACTTTAAAGGGTTGCATCCCAGATATCCTAATCACAAAGTATAAATAAACAAAGAAAACAATGTGAATGTGTTAATTATTTACTATAATCAATTATATAATTATATAATCAATTTAGATAAGCTTGCATAACTTTCTGCTTGATGCTGCATTTCATATTAGATTAGTTCCATGTATGAATGGCAAAGACTATACATAAAATGCAATTAAACTACCTTAAAATCCAATTAATCTAGGTTTTTTTAAGTGTTAATTTTTAAAACCTTTTGTGTGTTTTCACAGAATAATTTTCATCTCAACATTTTTTGGGACTGTCAACTTGTTCTTTAAACACAAAGAAATGTTTATAGCATCCCAAAGATACATGTTTTTGTATTAGAGTGTTTAGTTAGCTTTTCTAACAGCAGGTTATGAGAATACAAATCAAAGCTCAGTGGATCCATAAAGTCTGAGGTCTCAGCTCACAGGACAAGAATTGTCTCATTTGTGGACCTGGTCTTTCTAGTTCAGGGTTCAGACACATTGTCAGATCATTTCCAGAAACTTGCACTGCTGCTTTCTGGGCCTATCAGTTATTCTTGTTCTTTTTGTAAATATAGCTATCAAAAATTTTCAAATAAGAAATGTTTCTGTCAAAAACTGGTCTTTTTTACAAAAACCAAAGTTTAACAAAAACGTTCATATTTTAACAATTTTCCTTTTTTACACAAAACCCAAACTTATTTATTATTTGTTCCTACTCCTTTTTTTCTTGTCCCCAACCCTCCAAAACCTTCTCCATGGCATAATGGAAAAAGGAGAAAAGGGAGGAAAAAAAGGAGTTAAAAAAGGAAAAACTAAAACATTTTGTTTAAAAAAATAATTGCGAACATTTTTTAACTCAGGTCTGCCTGAAAACTTCTAAACAAAAACATTTTGGGATTTTTTGAAAATGTTCTTGACTTTTAAAATCACTTTTTGACCAGCTACATTTATTATTTATACAATGCTCAGAAGTATATTAAGCACTGTACAGTTAGATGTAAGGACATAGTTGCTACTCCCAAAATGTTTACAATTTAGACTCCCAGTCCTGCAAACGCTTGCACATTTACCTTCCACACAAGGGTAGTTCTATTGACTGCAATTGGACTACTTTTGAGTGTAAATCAGCAG